GTGGTCTAAACTTGACGGTACACACAACAACAATCTATTTATTACAAAATTAGCAGGAGGAAACAGTACTTGAGAAAGCGTCCTTAAGTGGTGCATTACAGTGGAGGCTTTAGACAATCAAAAGTCAGTATGAAATACTAGGGTATCTTTTTGCAAGTTAGAGAAAGGAAGGAGTAAAGGAAGAATAAAGAGGATGAGAAAGGGAAAGGCCTGATGTTTTAGAAAAAGCTGTTTAATTTTATAAATAAACAACACTATTGTGAATAAGGGGGCTCAAGTGTCAGCTTGCTGGCTTTGATTCCTGGCTCTTCTCCTCAATAGCTATGTGATGTGGGAAATTAAACTTTGTGATGATATTACTGTAATCCTCAGAAAATAATAGTATATATACGAAAGGACTTTTTTAAGGACTGAATAACAAGTGTAAATAATTTAGCACTGTGACACGTATTATAAATACTATATTGCTAAATATATTGCAAGAAATAAAAAAAAGCAATTTAGGACATTTATTAATGAATCTTCATAGAAGAAAAATTATTTTATAGGGTACATTCTAATTTCTTTTTTAATAGTTGAAACTACACAAAGATATTATATACACCTGGGGGGAAAATGCCTTAAAATGAGGTTACAGAAATAGCACAAGTTAGTGAACCCAACATAACTACTTAATGTTTTTCCCCAGGGATGTGATGGCCTTTACCTGAAGACATAATACACTGAAATGTAGATGGCTTTGTTTTACACAGCTTTAAAATAATGACCTCATTCAGGCAGTTTTTCTCATGCTCATTGAGCAGAGCAGATCTTCACTTACAGTCTTTCATCATCAAAATCTTATTAGATTTAGGTTGCATTTACCCAGATAATCCAGATCCACAGAGGCATAAGTAACAGTTTGACATCAGGGGAAAAAAATTAGAAAATGGAAATGGTGAAAACAATTTTTCCCCCATTCAATGAAAAAGAGTACTGTTCAGAGTCATTGAAAACTACACCAGGGTCCTTAGTATCTTAACAGTGTTATATAACTTAAATCACACAAGGGGTGAGACAAAAATAGAGATTTTATCCCTTTGATTCTTGTGCTCATTGTTAAAAGAAAATGAATTCAGGTGTTTTCATAACAAAGCAAGAAAACAAAGCCACAAAAGAACCCAGGGGCATAGGCATGAAATGCCATTATCTAACTTGTTTTGAGTAAAAATTATTTATAATCATTTTATATAAAATGAAGGTTGCAAAGAATATAAATGTCAAACTATGAAACAGTTTTAAGATATCTTTTTGATATTTTTGATTAAAATCTTAGCAAGGTCAAGTCAAGTCTAGAAGAAATTTCATATGTTAGTCATCAAAGTTTCAGAATATTCTACTGAAAGGTAAGTAGAATTTAAATGAGAAAAATGTTAATTTTTATGTGTAAAACTTAAAACTGCTTTTATAATTTTGGTACTTACTCAGACTATCTTCAGTTGTTGCATTAAAGATAGCATATTCTACACCAAGAATTCATTACTTATGATTTTGGTTAGAAAAGTTGTGGCTTATGGCTTATTAAAATTTTCATACTATGGTTTTCCTATATATGGACACACACACACACACACACACACACACACACTCTCTCTCTCTCTCTCTCAATGGTTAGAAACAGCTCTGGAATGAGAATATGAAAGGCAAATAACAGTAACAAAAATGTCTATTTTAAAGAGAACAACTTGTTCTCAATGACATTAGTTTCTTTTTGAACCAATTAAAACCAATAAACTGATATTAGTAAATATGATAGGAATTGCAACCAGTTGTAATTTCCTGTTAGTGTCTGGTGCTGTCTAGTTGCTTCTGATCCGTAGAGCCTCATGTACAACAGAATGGAACACCGCCTGGTCCTGTCTCTCCTCGTAATTATTGCTGTGCCTGAGCTAACTGTAGTTGCCACTATGTCAATTCACCTCTTTGAAGGTCTACCTCGTTTTTTGCTGCCCATCTATCTTTTGTAAGCACAGTATCTCTTTTCAGGGACTGGACCCTCCAGATAACATGTTCAATGTATGTGGAATGTGTTCTTCCCATCTGTGACATGACAGATTTTTTTCTCTTCTTCTAGAAATCCATATTATACTTAATATTATTTACTAACACTAGAATTCAAAGGCATTGATTCTTCTTTGGTTTTTCTTATCCACTGTTCTGAACGCACTGCGTATGTTGACAGACGCTGCCAAGTTGGTTCTGTCTGACACTTTACGTAGAACAAAACGAAACAGGGTTCAGTCTCGTACCAACCTCACAATTCCCTCTGTGCTTGATTGAACCAATTATTGCAGCCATAGTGTCAATTGCTGATGTAATTTTGATATTGACTCCAGTGAGTTTTCAGAAGCTGTAAGTTGCACAGAAAAAGACGGCCAATCTTTCTCTCGCAGGGTAGCTTGTGGATTTGAACTGCCTGCCTTTGGGTCAAGGACTGCAGCCTCCTATATGGACTGAAGCTCAACATCAAGAAAACAAAGATTCTCACCACTGGGCCAATTGGCAGCATCAGTATGGATAGTGAAGAGATTGAGATAACAGTTTTAGTTTGCTTGGCGCCACAATCAACACTCTTGGTAACAGCAGCCAGGAAATCAAAAGACGAATTGCACTGGGAAAATCAGCTGTGAGGGACCTCTCAAGAGTACTGAAGAGCAACGATGTCAGGCTGGAGACTAAGGTGCCTCATCCGGGCTATAGTCTTTGCAATTATGTGCTATGCATCAGAGAGCTGGACAGTGAATAGGGATGACAGAAAGAGAATAGATGTCTTTGAGCTTTGGTGCTGGAGAAGAGTGTTGAATATACCATGGACTGCTAGGAGAACAAACAGGTTTGTTCTGGAGAAAGTAAAGCCGGAATAATCCCTGGAGTCAAGGATTCTGAAGCTTCGTCTGACATACTTTGGGCATATTGCAAGGAGGGACTGGTCCTGGGAGAGGGACATCATGTTTGGCAGAGTGGAGGGGAGGTGAAGGAGAGGAAGACCTTTGATGAGATGGATCGATTCTGTGACTGGAGCGGTGGGAATACGTGCGTTTGAGATGGCTAGCTTGGCACAGGATAGAACAGCGTTTAGAGCTCTTGTACACAGGGTCGCTATGAGTTGCAAATGACTTGATGGCACATAACAACAACAACAATCGTAGTTTTGAACATAGAGTACATTTCAATATAAGGAAAAGAAAAATCCTCATAACTGGATTAATAAGCAACATTATGTATAAGTTGAATGAAAATACCATAGCTTGCATCAGGTTTATCTTAGTCTTCAAAATGTCTGTTGCAGCTTATGTACTCAGTACAATATATCAATTGATTTTCTGGCAGCTACTTCCATGGGCACTGATTGTAAACCAAAGTAAAATGAAATCTTTGGCAACTTCCATATTTTTTGTTCATTATCATGGAATTGTGTACTGGTGGAGTTAAATGGATTTTCCCTTTAGGTTGAGGTATAATGCCTACTTGAAATTGTAGGTTTTGGTTGTTTAATTGACTGACATAATTTGGTTGGATAACTGATTCAATGACAAAAAATATCATTTTATAAATTTTTAGAAAATGGCAATTATTTTCTATTCTTTTAGTTATATTGGAAATAAACATGTTACCGTAAAATAACTATTTTAGGTTTTCTTAACTATCCTTAACGGCACAACTGACATTTCAAATATACTCTTTATATGCAGCAATTATTACTTTATCTTGGCTGAAAGCAGGGAGTACCAGACGAATGTCTATCTGTGCTTCATTGATTATGCAAAGGCATTTGACTGTGTGGACCATAACAAACTGTGGCTGACTCTGAGAAGAATGGGAATCCCAGAACACTTGATCATGTTAATGCAAAACTTATACTTGAACCAAGAAGCAGTCATCAGAACAGAGCAAGGAAACACTGCATGGTTCAAAATTGGGAAGGGCATACACCAGGGATGTGTCCTGTCTCCATACCTTTTCAACCTCTATGCAGAACAGATCATTCGGGAGGCTGGGCTCTATGGGGAGGAATGTGGCATCAGGATTGGTGGAAGATCTATCAACAGTCTCCGTTACGCAGATGACACAACCCGGCTTGCTGAAACTGAGGAGGACCTGAAGCGCTTGCTGCTAAGGGTCAGGGACTGCAGCCTTTAATATGGATTGAGGCTCAATGTCAAGAAGACAAAGATTCTCGCCACTGGACCAATTGGCAGCATCAGGATGGATGGTGAAGAGATTGAGTTTGTACACAGCTTTAGTTTGCTTGGCTCCACAGTCAACAGTCTTGGCACCAGCAGCCAGGAAATTAAAAGGCACATTGCCATGGGAAAGTCTGCTGTTAGGGACCTCTCTAACGTGCTGAAGAGCAACGGTGTGTCTCTGGAGACTACGGTGCATCTGGTACAGGCCATGGTCTTTGCAATCACTTGTTATGCCTCAGAGAGCTGGACAGTGACCGGGGAGGATAGAAGGAGAATTGAAGCTTTTGAGCTTTGGTGTTAGAGAAGCGTGCTGAGGGTACCATGGACTGCTAAGAAAACAAACAGATTCATCCTAGAGAGGGTTAAACTGGGCTGCTCTGTGCAGGCAAGGATTCTGAAACTTCGTCTGACATACTTTGGTCATGTTGTAAGGAGGGACCGGTCCTTGGAGAACAACATCATGCTCGGGAGGATGGAGGGCAGGCGCAGGAGGGGGAAGGCCCTCTGGGAGGTGGATTTATTTGGTGACTGAAGCAGTTGGCATGAGTGTGTCGGAGACAATGAGATTGACACAGGACAGAGCAGAGTTTAGAGCTGTTGTACATAGGTTCGCTATGAGTCGCAAGCGACTCAACGGCACATAACAACAACAACAGGGAACACAGACAAATATAAAATACATTTTAAGTTTTATCATTGGGATTCTTAAATGAAAGGAGGACTACACTAATAAAGTGGCATATAGTATCAAGACTTGTTGAAGTTTAATTATACCTCTGCAAGGTCTGAAAAGAGTGCTTGACTTGTGTTACGTCTCAGTGTATCCCAATAGCTTCTGGAGACAACCTCCTCTCCATCTGTTTTAAGTACCTGTAGAAGTTTTAAGAGGCAAAACAGAAAACTAAAGAACAGTCACAAAGAATGATAATTTGAACAATTAAAAATCTCTTCTAAACAACTTTAAAAAGAAAGAAAATGAAAGACATTGGCTTACCTTTTTTGTTTTCTGCTGCACACAATGGCCTTATTATTATACTGCTGATACTATATGGTACTTTCAAAGGTGTGAATTAATTAATTAATTAATTTTAAAAATATTTAGGTAATTTTAAGATAAGCTATAAGCATTATGCCAATTTAAAACTGAATTACTGCTGCTTTTTAAATACTTGACCTCACTATATCAAAGGATCAAAATGGCTATAATCATTAGAAAATTTAGTCCAAATTAATTAAAAAAAAGACCTGATTAAATCAAACTACTCAAAGCTACAAAGATTATGTGGGTGGTGGTGTGGTTAGGTGCAGTCAAGTTGACTACACTCATAGGGACCAAATGAACAAAAACCTTGCTCTATCCTGTGCCATCCTCACAAATGCAACCACATGAAGACTATTATAGTCACTAGGTATATTTGGTAGGCATATCTACTATAAATGGGTAAGATACTTTCCAATCTACTAAGGTTAGAATCCCAGAACACTTTGTGCTCATGAGGTTTATCTTTTGCTTTTCAAAGAGAGGAACAAACTGGGGGGGGGGTGTAGAGAAAAAAGTACAACAATGAATGGAAATCCAAAATCTCTGTAAATGTTCATTAAAATTACTAAAATAAAATAAAAAAAAAACCCCAACAACAAAAAACCCCCCTATACACAGACCAAGAAGCAGTTAAGCGAACACAATAAGGGAACATGGCATGGTTTCAAAGTAGGAAAAGTTGTGTTCTTTCTCCAAATGTACCTAATCTGTATACTAAGCAAATAATTGAAGAAGCTGGACAACATGAAGAAGAATGTGGCATCAGGACTGGAGGGAGACTCATCAATAACCAACATTATGCAGATGACACAACCTTGCTTGCAGAAAGTGTGGAAGACGTGAAGTATTTACGGCAGAAGATAAAAGTCTTCAATGTGGATTATATCTCAACATCAAGAAAATAAAATAAGACTTCTCACCAGTGGACCAACAGGTAACATCATGATAGATGGAGAAACAACTGAAGTTGTCAATTACTTACTTTTACTGGCTCCACAATAGCAGCAGTAAAGAAATCAAAAGACTTGTATTGGAAAAATCTACTTTCAAAGACGTCTCCAAAGTGTTAAGAGAGCAAGGCTCAGCTTAAAGACTAATGTGCACCTGATCCAAATAATACTATTTTCAATTGCTTCAGAAATATTTTAAAGTTGTATGAAAAATAAGGAAGACCTAAGAAGAACTGATGGCTTTGAATTGTGGAGTTGCTGAAAGAATATTGAATATACCATAAATTTCCCAAAGAACAAACAAAAAGAAAGGACAGAATACCAGAAGAATGCCTCTATTTGTGCTTTATTGACTCTGTAAAGGCATTTCACTGTATGTATCATAACATATTAAGGTTAACATTGAGAAGAATGGGAATCCCAGACCAATTATGTGAATTAGTTATGTGGCTGCTGTCCAAAGAGAACAAAGGAATACTATAAGGTTTAAACTTCAGTTGTGTGTCAGGGTTGTATCCTTTCTCCAAACCTATACACTGTATGCTAAGTAAATAATTTGAGAAGGTAGACTCTATGAAGAAGAATATGGCGTAAGGATTGGAGGAAGACTTATCAACAACCTTTGTTATGCAGATGACACAATCTAATTTGCTAAAAATGAGGAGGACTTGTAACACTTGCTGCAGAAGACCACAGACTACATCTCAACAACAAGAAAACAAAAATTCTCACCACTGAACCAACAGGCAATATCATGATAGAGGGCGAAAAGACTGAAATTGTCAACAATTTCATTTTGCTTGAATTCACAATCAACACTCTTGGTACCAGCAGTCAGGAGATAAGGAGATGTATTGCATTTGCAAAGCCTGCTGTCAGGGACCTCTCTAAATTATTGAGTAGCAATATGTTGTCAAAGTTTATTCAAAATGTCTTTCCCAGCCATTGATAACTGTTTACTTTGTGCTGAAGTATCATTTTATTGAGGTAGGATTAAAGTGGGATATAAGCCCCACTCCAGTCGAAGCTTATATAAGTTTATGAAAATTAAATGCTACCTCTCTTTTTTGTGACTTCAGTCTTACAGCTGCAACTGCAACTGACAGTGTAACATGATCACCAGTGTGACATCATGGGCTTGCTTCATCTAAAAGTCAAGTGAGTCATTCCCCTGACCAGGCTGAGTCTCTGGGAGACCTTCCAGCAAATCAGCAAACCCAAGGGACATAGAGGATTGGGGAGAACTGAACTAAGGAGGGACTGTCGATGTCAGAAATCATGGAGTTACACAGAAAATCAAATATATGGGATATTGTTGATTTAGCACTTCTTGTAACTGATCTATTAATCTTATCAGAATGAATTATGAATATAAGCAATGATGTCAGTTTGAGAACTAGGGTGCATTTGATTTAGGCTATCGTCTTTTCATTCACTTGTTATGCATCCGAGAACTGGACAATGAATAAGATGACAGAAGAACTGGTGCCTCTGAGTTGTTGTGGTGGAGTCATCTGAAAGTTAGATGATGAATAAGGAAGGTGAACAAAGAATCAATGACTTTGATTTGTGGCTTTGGAGAAGAGTACTACATATTCCACCGGCTGCAGAAAGTACAAACAAGTTTGTCTTGGAGGAAGTGCAATTAGTGTTCCTTAGAGACAAAGATGGGACTGTATTGTCTCATATACTTTGGACATTTTGGTAAGAAGGTCTAGCCTTTGCAAAAACAATCATGCTGGAAATGAGAAAGATGGAGGGTCAGAGAAAGAGAAGATGACCCTCAATACGACTGACACAGTGACTGTAACAATGGGCACACGCATATCAAGAGACTGTGAGGATAGTGCTGGATGGAGCCAAGTTGATTTATATCTGTTGTTTATAGGTTTGCTATGAGTTGAAGTCAAAGTCAACTTGAAGGCATCTAACAACAACAAATATTTATATATGCAAATGCCTTATATAAACTAGGGAACGAAAAAGAGATTAGTTTGGCTCATGGGGGGAAAAGAAATGGATAGCAAAGTAAATGATCTAAATTTTGAGACTGCAGCACAGCTTCTTACCAGCAGGCCACCAGAGCTCCCAATGATCTAAATTTTGTTGTTAGTTGCTACTGAGCTAATGGCTGACTCATCATGACCATAAACAATACAGAAGGAAAAACTGCCTGGTCCAAGACCATCCCAATGATTGGGTGCAGACTGGATGACTGTGATTCAGAGGATTTTCACTGGCTTAATTCTGGAAGTAAACTATTAGGCCTTTCTTCCTAGCTTGTCTGGTGTGGAAGCTTGTTGAAATCTCTTCAGTACAATATTAACAAGCAAGCCTCCACTGATAGTGATTTTCTATAACACACAAACTTAAATAAGCAAAAGAAAGAAAACTGTAGTAGTATCACGTAAAGATACTAGTACTGCAGTAATGTACACGTCTATTATAGGAAATACATAGGGTTTTCAGAGGCCTGCTATTTCGGAAGTGGATGGCCAATTCTTCTTCCTAGTCTGTCTTAATCTGAACGCTCAGATTTAGAGAAGTATCTGACAGACAAGCATTTTACGGAAAAAAGCAAATGAAAGATGTTTTTACCCAACTGTGGAACTGACCAATATTTTCAGTGTTCTCCCTGCCCTTGACACAAGTGTCTTGACCCACTTATTTCCCTGCTCCACCATCCACCAGCATCCCCTTCCACTCCTACCCAACATCTATCTCCTGTTGTCCAGCCCTTAATCTGATAGTTTATATCTCAAGCTTTATGGGCTTCTGTGATTCCAAACACTTCAGCTGCTGACAATTTCTTATGCTGTGGCCAGTGTCTCTTGAGTTTAGGGGTAATGCTTCCCAAGTGAGGGTGATGTGTCCTATAGATCTGGTGTATAGATTGCTTTCTACTCCAACAATTTCTGCCTCCACCTTGACCTGCCAGGCCTCTGGGTTGGCCAATTGGCAGCATCAGGATGATTATGAAGAGATTGAGATTGTACACAGCTTTAGTTTGCTTGGCTCCACAGTCAACAGTCTTGGCACCAGTAGCCAGGAAATTAAAAGGCGCATTGCCATGGAAAAGTCTGCTGTTAGGGACCTCTCCAAAGTACTGAAGAGCAATGGTGTCACTCTGGAGACTAAGGTGCATCTGATATAGGCCATGGTCTTCGCAATCACTTGCTATGCGTCGGAGAGCTAGACAATGATTAGGGAGGATAGAAAGATAATTGATGCCTTTGAGCTGTGATGCTGGAGAAGAGCATTGATTATACCATGGACTGCTAAGAAAATTAACAGGTTCATCCAAGAGAGGATTAAACCAGGCTGGCCTTGGGGGCAAAGATTCTGAAGCTTCATCTGACATAATTTGGACATGTTGCAAGGAGAGACCAGTCCTTGAAGAAGGACATCATGCTTGGGAGGGTGGAGGGACAGTGAAGGAGAGGAAGACCCTCTATGATGTGGATTGATTCAGTGACTGGGATAACTGAGTGACAGAGAGAGTGAGATTGGCACAGGATAGAGCAGGGTTTAGGGCTGTTGTACATAGGGTCACTATCAGTTGCAGGTGATTCAAAGGGAACATAACAACAACATTATAGGAAAAGCAACAACAAACAAACCAAGTACAACTCTTTCCTGAAAGAAGCCATGCAAAACCCAATTCTTAAATAAGTCTCACAAAGGCATTCTGAAAACTATATACTCACAATAAAAAATTACTGAATATAAAAGAACAAAAGCTAGAATAGTGAAGGCCAGCAGCAATAACAAACAATAAAACTACATCAAAGATTTCAGTTATTGCACGAGTTAGATAGGAACACAAAATAAGTATAAATAGTTACAAAATATAAATTGAAAATATAACTTCAAATGAT